TATCAATATTTAAACTTTAAATAGGTACTTATTCCATAGAGTAATATAGAGAGGCCGTTACATATATCCTCCGTGTTCTAGTAGTGAAGCCAAATGTTCGGTCGTTGACCCTTATCGAGAGTCCAAGTCATAGAGTAATACTCTATGGTCCAAGTGCGCTCTCATTGTCCGCTAGATCGCGTAGTTCAATAACGATAAAATGATACGACGATACGTATTTTTATTATTAGAATTCTGATTTTTATGATTTTACATAATATATTTTGTTTCTTGTCTATGCATTATTGTAATTAAATGGGAGTAAAATGTCTTAACATTTTCAACTGTTTTGAAATCCTTTGAAAAGCGTGATCATAATGCCAAGTTGTTTTTTGTGTGGCAGATCAAAAAACCCTAAGAGCAAGTCTCAGGATATCTCCTTTCACAAGTATGAGATGGTTTAAATATTAAATTTTTTTATTATGAAAGAAGAAAAATTGCATTATTATTTTATAAAAAGATTTTAAGTATTTCTATGATCTTTTTCCAGATTTCCTCTATCTAATCCTGAGTTGATGGGAAAATGGAATGATTTTTTAGTAGCAAACAATCTTAATTCAAATAGTTTGACTAAAAATAGTTTAATTTGTTCTTGCCATTTTGACTCTTCAAATTTTATTAGCTATAAATCCAGAAGATTACTAAATAATAATGCTGTTCCATGTTTAACTATAGCCAGAGTTAAAAACGTAAGTATTTAATAATTGTTTCATAACTGACTATTGTATCAAGTTAAGTATGATACATTTTTTTTGCTATAATAACTTATTAAATTTGCTTAACTATATAAACATAAACAAGTTAATTAGGTACCTAATCAAAATAAAAATAAAAATAATCATAATTTTTTTTAGAACATCATAATACAAGACAGTTAAAACAGAAAATACTACTCATCATAAAACCAATACGTTCTTTATAATATTATAACAGTATAGTATAACTTATAAGGACGATTCTTCTATCATGAACCAGTTATTATAATTTTTTTTTTTTTATATTTTAATTTCATTGATTGTTTTTTTAATATTATATACATATAATATTATTATTTATATTATTATTTATATTATTATTATTATATTATATTATAATTTTTTATTATGTATATTAATATATTACTATTTGCTTACCTATATAAATATTAAAATATGTTTAATTGATTATTATTTATGTTATGCATTTTGTATAGTATGTTCCTAAAATATTATGTATATAATATAATATTCAATATTCATGGCAATAAATTAATTGTGAAAATATGTAATTTATATTTATATTTATTTTAATAGAAATACCAAATTAAATAAATTATTGAACTACCTATTGACTACTATATAGAGATTATTGTTCATAATTAGGTAGAAGTGAAATGTGAATACAGTAATTTTTTTTCCTAAAAGTGGCTAGCCTGCCCAGAGTCCACTTGCGCTTCACGATAAAAATGAACGGCCTCTCTATATTACTCTATGACTTATTCAAATCAAATACTTTACTGGTAAATAGTAATACCTTACTCTAGATAAAAGATTAACGTGGGCTCATCACATCAGGACTAAAATAATAG